GTTCATACAAGCAGTATGGTGAAGATCTTGAAGGTACAAAAGTACATAGTCATTGACATGAAGACTATGAAAGTTGACACGTAAAGACTCACTTTTCTCCATGACCATTTTGCACCAAAGATCAAGAATACACCTTAAACCTTTAGCATCACTGATGAAGAGATATAAAATTGGAAAGAGATGGAAGTTTCAAATGAGGATTTCAAGAGAAAGCTCGGGGACTAATGGAGGGACTTGTCTGAGTGTGTGCATGTGTGTGTGAGAAAGAGAGATAGAATGAGATTAGCAAGAGGCTTATCAAGACTAGGAATGGGTCAATCTTGAGATCTAGATCTTCCACTTTGATACCACGCAAAAATGTTATTAAAATGAAGATGTTAAAGTGCAGCACTAGGAATGGAGAAGAAGTCTGGCCATCCTACACATTAACTGCATCGACCTATTCTATTGATAAACATTATGCCCTTTATGTACATGAGACATTACAATATATTTTACATGGACAATAGACATGAAAAGAAAAATATTACAATAGGCCTATGTACAACACAGGTATCATATTAGTGAGAATTATCTTAGAGGTTCTAGAGAAGCTACTCAATAAGCCTAAGCAAAAAGTCTATACTAACCACGAAAGAGCTGATACATGGTGAATTTGATGTCAAAGTATAGATATGCCTACTCCATAATCCATGAAAAATGACAAAAAAGATATGAGGCTGTTATTACAAGCTTATGATGGAGGAAAAAATTATTCTTATTTTTTATTTTTATTCAATTTTAAAGGATGTATATTATAATTTTAGTTCGAAGGTTTATTTCTAAGGGTTTTTAGTTTTTTAGGGATTGTAGGGTTTTTTATTTTTTATTTACTTCATGAATACTATTCACAATTATTGTTCACGGGTACTATCCACAGGGGTAAAACTGTTATTACCAATTTTAAGTTAAGTAAGGATATATATTTTAATGTATTATTTGTTTGGACATTGTTTGTACTTAGAACATTAAATTATAATATATAAGACGTGTGTGGGGCCCTTGAGGGTAAATTCAACATGATTTTAGGAATTGAAAAAGAGAAACATTAGGCTTTTGGAACCCTACCTTGGGTGAGGAAAAGAGACCCTAGGTTTCTTTGAATGGTGCTTGTGTTTGACATTGTTTCTTGCTAATTTCTATGATCTCTCAAATCGGTATCAAAGCCTGAGATCCGTATAAGTAGTACCCTTGCAAGTCATTGTACATGGTACTGTAGCAAGTTCTGTAGCACAGTACTGTAGCATCGATTTTGCGCCTTAGATCAACATTGAAGCCTAGATCTTGCTGATTTCAGCGGGTTTTTGTTGATAATCTACATGGGGTTTGTGATTTCGTCGGTCCCAAGGCCGCGAGAAGGGACCGTAGAAGGGGAATTTTCGTAGATTCGCTATGTGATCCCATAGATGACATAATTGAGAAACTTGAAAGGCAAGCTCAACAGTTAGCGCAGTAGTTCGTGAGCCTCAATAATGGGCAAGTGATGAGGATAGTGACAAAAGACCTATAAGTTGGGAACATAATTCTAGGGTTTTCAATTTGAAGGATGAGATTTTTCTTAATATGACACAGATTACATCGAAAATCAGCAAGTTGTAGATTTGAATTCACTACCAATCTTTGACATATACTCAAATGAACAACAAGATCTTTTAGGAGATCCGATCTATGATAAGGATCAAGATGATGATGATGAGATTTTCGAAGAGGGTGAAGAATATGGAGAGAAGGTAGTAGGACAACCGATCAAAATCATGGCCTTTGAAGATTTCATTAATATCAAAGAGGAAGAGCATTTAAGAAATTCAGGGTATTGGAATTAGAGTAGTGCAGTGGAAGCATGGTCAATTCAAAATCTACAAATTGTGGCCCTGACTTCAGAAGGTGATGAAATAGATGTTTAGAAAACCTCTAAAGGCCAAAAAATATAGTTTGAAGTATCTTACATGATTTTCAATGGGAGTTCAAGAATAGCCAAATTTGATAAATTTGCATCGATTCCTAAATATACATATCAAGATCTGTTTCTTTACGAATTATTTTTACCATGAATGATCTTTGAATCAACAAAGAAAAAGAAGGTTGAAGAAGGTGGTTTTGACACTGAATTCATATTAGCACACTTCAAAACTCGATGACGAGTTTTCTCCAATCAGGGGGGAATGATGGAGAGCAAAATTATTCTTATTTTTTATTTTTATTCAATTTTAAAGGATATATTATCATTTTAATTTGAAGGTTTATATATAGGGTTTTTAGTTTTTTTTGAGATTCTAGATTTTTTATTTAATTCATGAGTATTATTCACATTACTCTTCATAGGGGTAAAACTGTCATTATGAATTTTAAGTTAGGATATATTGGTCAATGTATTATTTGTTAGGACACTTTTTGTATTTAGAGACACTAAATTATAATATATAAGAGGTGTGTAGGGCCTTGAGAAGATAAATTCCATATGATTTTTAGAAATTGAAAAGAGAAAATCTTAAGCTTTTGGAACCCTAGCTTAAGTATGGAAAAGAAACCCTAGCTTTCTTTGAATTGTGCTTGTGTTTGGCTTTGTTTCTACTGATTTCTATATTCTCTCAAATTCCCCTGCATCAGCTTCCTACATATGAATCCAAATACATGAATGTGAAGATCAGCACATAAATAGATAAGAGCACGTATAGCTGACTCCAATGGCAGTACACAATACACCTACTCCTTCACGAAAATAACCTACCTAAGAGATTTTTCTCGGTCTAAAAGTGTAGAGTCCACTTCATAAGTCACTAGGTTGAGTTGGTTACATCCACAAAATTTGGGCACGACATTATTTTTCCGGCACATATAGAGCTCGTCACTAGTTGAGGTGGTTATAATCCCAAAATTTAGGGTCCTAAAAATACTCCTAGATAGGCTTTTGCACGAGGGTGTGTATGAATGATATGCTCCTATGGGAGCATATAATTTTTGGCTATATATACACAAAGACAAGAAGTGGTGCATGTACTCAAACATGACAAGCATATATTAAGGGACACAGACGAATATGATGCATGAAAAAATGCTCAACCTTATGTTTTAGGCTAGACAAAAAGTGCTCTTAGTCAAATATAAAAGCCATAGAAGTTATGTGGATGAATTTTGTGCACTCAGAAAGCCCCACATAACCCAGTATAATCCTAGAAGAAATCAACACATCAACACAACTCGAAGCATTTCATTAGATTGTAGATCTTACCATCCTGGCCAATACACACCCCACTATGAATGATACAAGATTCACCAATAGAGCAATTACATACAACAGCATTATACCTGTGGAAGTAACATATACTGTTACCAAAATGTTACCCATTCTGAAGAAAATCCATGCAAGATTTAACATTCTAAAAACACAAGCACCAGATGCACAAATACTCGGTACAGGTAAAAGCACACTAACAATGAGAACTTGGTTACAAAGCACATATATAAAATATCATAGCTCATTTTATGGTTACAAAAACCTCCACAGGAAAGCAAACTCAGGCATTATCAGGAAATTCCTAAAGTATAATCGTCTCTCCCCTCCCCCCCAAACAAAAAACCCAGAAAACAAAAACCAACTGTCATGTGAGCTTCCTAATCAAATCCAATGAAGATAATAAAAAATAACATAAATGATGCAATACATGACTAGCAAGTAGCACTTCAAGGTATGGAAAGCCTGGTATAGTAAAGAAGGTCAAGATTGACATGTCGATTTGGTTGAGGGATCAAGGCTCGAGCCCATAAAGCTTGTCCTGATGCCAAACAAGCTGATCTGAAAAAGAAAAGGATAATGCAATGCAATTCACTTAATCGTATTAGATCAGCCCACAAAAAACTCACATACTAGCTAACCTTACAGAGACTAATATACACCTCACATGCTCAACCAATTAATCAATTGCGATCACCATCTGCTATGTCCTAAGAGAAGCTGAGGACATGAGGTCATCGACTGGTCAAGGAATGAGTTACGTCTACTTAGGGGATTGTGTTTCTTTGGCTACATTAACCCACGTTTCCTTTGGGATACTTTCCTTTGCTTCACCCTTAATTCGTTTTGCTTTTGTACTATCTACCTTATATTTCTTGTCACAAATGAATCATATTTTGACCCTAAAAATTAAAACTAGCAAACCATTAGGTGAATAAACAAGAAATAAATTAAAAGACCAGAGTAACCATCAGAAAATGACTTACATACCAAACAATAATTCTAAAGGCCCAATGAGTGAAAAGCATCAAGTGTACTATAGTGCATGAGGAATAAAAAAAGAACAAGAGGCATAGTGCACAAACTACCCAATTTTTGCTGAATGTCCTATTTTCACAGAAGGCCCTACAACAGCTCCTGATCCAAGATGAACATTAGCACCAAGTACAGCTTTTGGATGGACTATGGAACCTGCTTCTATAACTGCTGTTGGATCAATACAAGAGGACTTGTGGAACAAACCACCGCCATTATGCCACTTCTCGAACATTGATTGACCCATTACCTCTTCTAATTGTCAAGTTTGTAACAAACAAAAGTTAATGATCTTAAAGATTCAAATTATAAGCATAAAAATATATGTAACCAAATTGTGTTTTCATTAGAGAATCAATATAATTACACAGCCGATGTGATAAGATATTCCAACTTCTATTTTCAAATCATTACAGGATTTATCCGACAACTTTTTATCATCAACAAATTCCTGAACACTACTTCAAGACTATATAACTCGCAATAGAAAGAGAAAACATAAGCTAAAGTGAAGGAGAAACACTTATATGTCCAAAGCAAGGTTTTAAAAAACGGCAATCTAGATCAAAATCACCCAATCCAAATCGAGAATCGGTGGGACCGATCCAGTTCCCACAATATATCCGGAACCGACCAGTTCCAAATTAGAACCGGCCCCTTCACAACAGGAACTGCCCGCTTCACCGGTTCCAGCCCTATATGTTTTTAAAAAATTTATTTTTCTCATATTTTATTTATTCAATTTCTTTTGGTATTATAATTTAAAAAACAAAAATTTATTCATGTGTGGCCCCACAACCACTTGGAGCAAGAGGGGATAAAAAAGCTTTATCGGAAGTCGTCAATTTATACGACTATGCCTACCATTTTTCCCCATAACCCCAATGTGGGATAAATGTTTTATCCCACCTGCTCTTTTATACGGTTATGATGGATGAGGCACCACCAGCATCAAGATCTTATTAATAAGAAAAAAAAGAATTGTTGCAACTTCGAGATACAATAAAATTTACAATGTGTCTTTTTCTGAGTCATCTATAAGAGTGGTCATAAACTGTGAATTTCACTATGCATCAATTATGTTGTTGTGAGTTTCTTCTACGGCTGGCCTGCTCTAACTTGATTTTTGCATCCTGTTGCTAGGGTGAAATTTCCAATTCAATAAACAATTGTAATAAATGATATCGAGGCAAAGTCCCTCTATGTTTATTTCTAGGACTGAATTTAAGATATAACACCATTCGTTTTTATGTGCCAAGATGTTCTGAGGATCATTGATGATCATTTAAACAAGGAGGTTGAGAGGCCACACCATTTGTTGTGTACAATAAGAAGATTATGCGAGCAGAGGAATGGAGGTTCCAGTGCCCCTTTTTTGTAAGGAACTTCGGGGTGGTGGGCTTTGTTTCAAAGAACAATGGTATTCCAATTTCTTGAATGAAGCCTAGAAGCTTTCATGGTGTCCACATGACATACCAGCGTTTTAAGATTCCATGCTATCCATATGAAACCTTCTTAAAAACTTCTTAAATTGAAAAGCTTCTTAAAACCTTGATATGATACCAGTGTTAAATAAGGGACACCAGATAATGAGACCATTTACCTTTGGCACAAGGTGGTCACAATTAATATTGACCATTGGATGTGAAATAGGTGGCTGCACTTACTTCATTGACCAAGCTCAAAGTTGAAAAGAAATTTTCTCGAACTTTGTAACACACTCGAGCTATCAGATTTCACATCAGATGGTTGTAAGTAATTGTGACCTCCCTGTACCAAAGGTAAATGGTCTCATTGTATACAATCCTGTTAAATAATTTAGAGTAGTTCTCAAACCCTTAAATGAAACCTTAAATAAAACACAATAATATTAGATATTTCTTACTTTAAATTGGACATTCACTCTGCCCCTCAATAAAAACTAGTTTTACTTCATTGTCCAAAAAATTTTTAAACATAAAACTTAATTTTATGTTTTTTTTTATTTTCTTTTTCTTATCTTTTCCATGTAGACTATGTGCTCAAATTTTTTTCTTCTCCAGTCTCATTAAGATCAATTTTAGGAGAGAGAGAGAGAGGAGGCATTCATTAAAATCACAATTAGTATCAAAAAGTTAGTATCAAAATCACAAAAAAAAAGAAAAATTTGTATAAAAATCACAATTAATATCACATAATTAGTATCAAAAATAAAAAATCGCTTTCTCCCCCATTCCTTCACTAAAAATCACAAAATGAGTATAAATTTTTTTGTTAAAGTATTGCTTAAAATTTATTTTCAAAATTAATATATATAGACACTTAGACAATAAACAGTGTGTTGATATTCACACATTTTTTCAATATATTGAATGTCCATAATACACTATCCCCAATGTTTTTGAACTCAAAAAATAATATTTATAAAGAATTTTAATACTTATTTTATTTTATTTTAGGTCAGATCAAGTTAATCCGGACTGCCGACCCACACTTATTTTTGGGATAGCAATCCTCAACACTAATCCAGTTTTTTTAAACATTGGTCCAAAGTGAACTCCTTGATCATGTTTTCATATGCTCTATGAATTATTATGCTTATACCTGCATGACCACATTAAACCAGATCACTTGTTCTTGTATTCAATGAAATTGTCAAGATTTATGCCTAGATTGGTGTGATGTAGGCCATGACGCCATGTTTCTTTTTCAATTTAACAGTGTAGGCAATGTAGCATGGCAAGGAAGAAGAGTAGAAGTGGAGAGAGAAGCCGAAATATATCAAGAAGTTTGTTGTGTGGGGAAAAAAAAGAATCAGCCCTATATGGAATAGGTATATGTCATTTACCATTCTCTTAGACAATATCATATATTTCAAAGTCAAAGGCCACAAAGGCAAAGCCACAAGAAGTGTTTCCCTTTTGGTCTCTTGAAAGTGGCTAGGTTCACTAACACTCAAAGGGAAATATGGTTATCAATGCATCCCTATAGCTAGGAGTTTGTAAGATGACGTATTATCCAAGAAAATCTCTAGAAAATTTCTCCTGAAAGACCCATGAAAAATCTGGATGAATTCTCTCTAGAAAAATCTTTTGAATCAATGGCTAGGATTTTGTCTTAGGAATCAATGGCCAAGATTTGGAAACCTTTGGGCTATTCTTCTCTAATTGATGAGTGAGTCCCATTAGAGGTTGAGAGATTCCCTTCTTGTTTCCCCTTTTTTCCTATCAAACACAGTTCTGATATACTTTGTATTGGAATAAAATAGTAGAATTCAATCCGTTTGTATCCAATCTCTTAGTCCTTTTGCTTTAGATTACATCAGTTACATGTTCAAGATGTCCTCCAAATGGAGGACTCCACAATGAGAGTCTGATGTTTTTTTCTCCGTTTAGCTCTATCGACATCTGTTATTGATGAGCTGATTCCTAATCATGCAAAGAAATAATTTCCGGCAAAAATTTGCTTGCAATGCATGCAGCGATCATAACTCATTGTACAATTTGATTGCGCAAGAAAATAATAGTGAGATAAATTATAACAGTACAGTAGGAAGGAAGAGTTTACATGTACCATGGCGTTCTTAGAAGTTTGCATGGGCTTTGCCCCCAAAAAGAAGACGAATGAAATGGTGAAGAAAATAAGAGCAAATATGCGTGAAATGGGGGGAGAGAGTGTCTTTGCAGGATAAAGCATTTTGGGAGCCTGAGGGCATTTACCAGAAAGTGAAGCATCATCATCTCCTGAATTTGAAGAAGAATAACATTTATGGGCAATTAATGCCCGGAAATGAGAGGGGAATACTCCACTTCTGAAAGAAAATGTTTATGGTCAAGATTAGAATTACAGCAGACTGTCAGTGAATCCCTCTGTGGAAAAGATCGGTCATACACTCGTTGCAGAAAAACCCTAAACCTCTCTTCCGATTTACTCAAGCCCAGAACAAAATAAAACTCAATGAGGAGACGGTTATGCAGGTTTTTTGTTTTACCTGAACGTGGAAATGGCAGCCCATCCCGGCGACATCGAGAGAGAAAGAGATGGGCGCAATGGCATGCGAGGAATACATAGAGAGCGCCCAGGTGTGTATGTGATGGGAGGACACTGGGAAATTGGCTGCGGTGGTGGTACGCGCGGAAGCTTTTTTTTTTTTTTTTCCGATTTTTGAGAGAGAGAAGAGGAAAAAATACAGGAAACTGGTTTGATAGGCCCGCAGCCCCAAGAAAATCCTCGTCTCATGCTAAACAAAATAATGTATATTATAACAAATTATCAATATAAAATAAATATTTATAGACTCCGCGTACTATTTTTTATACTTTCGACTTTGAAAATTGATTTTAAATCCATCATGAAAATTTTTATTACCGAAAGATTTTTTATTTTGTTTTCGTAAAACCTAGGTATTATAGAAACGTCATCCCAAAATAAATAAATAAAAATCCTTCACTAATTGGAAACTAATTCGAAACTTATATAAATAAATCATTTACTTCTCGGTCAAGGAGATTACAATTCTATATGTTAGAAATCAACTGAGTGGATGTGATTGTGTCAAACTTTAAAGAATTTTTTTTTGAATTTCACGACAACTCAAACTATCCAATTTAAAATTCGATGGCCAAAGGTAACGATATAAAATTCACTAGTGAATATCTAAAATAATCGTATTTAAGAGAAGCAAAAATTGTGAAAACAATCATAAAAAAGTAACTTTTTTTTTAATTTCATGACACAACTCAAACTATCCAATTTAAAATTCGATGTCCAAAGGTATTTGATGCAGTATAGAACTCACCCGTGAACACCCAAAATATCCGCATTTAAGAGAAGTACAATTCGTGAAGAAAGTCACAAGTAGATAGAAAAAAACACATAGACACAAATATTTCGACACGGGTCTACAAGCAAACAAGAAGAAAAAACACCCATGAAAAGCTCTCTCTCCCTCTACACGATCTCAAATATCTCTTTCTTCCATTCCTAAAAGTTCCAATCTTCCCCATTGCATGGTACCATCTTTCTTTTATAGAAGCCCAACACCTTCCGAAAGATTTTCACCTTCTAAAGAAAACGTCTCCTCCTTTTTTTTCCTAATAGATAATCCTACCAAATTTTTACCTAAATAAACAATCCTTTCCCTAATAGATAACTTCTCCCTAAATGTTATCTAAAGAAATAAATCGTAAACGTATTACCGATCAAAAAGGCAATATCTTTTTCTAAGAGATTTATCTCTAAAACAAAGAGAGTACTTCAATTTAAAAAATGGTTTCTAAAATTAAAGAACTTATCAAACTAAACCTAAAAATCTTATTTTTAATAATTAATTCTAATAAATAAAAATAAAAATTCTATCCAAACTCTAAAAATAAAATTAACAAAAAAAATAAAATTAAAATTTGTAACCACCAGATTTTCATCTCATTAGTATTTATCGCATCTAGAAATTTAGACAAAACAATTCAAAAAGGGTTTGGCTTTAACTTCATCTGCTCAATTACTTGAGCTTGATAGGGTCGAAGCGTGAGACTTTTTCAATCAAGTAGCATATGTGCATGGATCACACATAACGGATAAAAGCGGGCAGACGTCTTTTTGTGATAGCATACACATACTAAGGCTTAGTAAGAAACCAACTTGGGTGGAATTTTTTGGATGTGACACAAGGGATCCGCTTCAGAATAGTATTTTCAACTAAAAAAGGCTTTAGATTTGAATTCCTGGATATTTAAATCTAACCACCTAAATATTGCATGGTCTTTTTTTTTTTTTTAATGTTTACTATTAATTTTGTTATATATAAGAACAATAGTAAACAAATAGATGAATAAATAGAAAAATACAATAGAGCGCTCCCTACTATCAGGGATGACCCACCAAGACTTCCAAACATAACATAAATCTTTACCTCAAAAGTTCCTACATGACACACCGCTTAAAACCCTTAGTAAACCACACAGAGAGCACTTCCAAAGACATTCAACACAGAAAATCTACTTCCCAACCCAAGCTTCTCAATTAGACACCAAAACATTGAGCAGGAAGAACTTACAACTATGCAGTGATGATCCACGTCAAATATACATGTGCCGTGGGTGCAACAGTGGTGAGTCTAGGTGACTTTGGCATTCCACAATAGTGGCAGAAAGTGAAGTTCTCAAGACCTCCTTTTCTTACGACTTCTAAGCTGCCCCATAACACTTCGAAGGTGATGGAGCAGACTGGGATGCTACCAAGACGAAACTAACAATAGTGCTAATAGAAAAGGAAACTGTTGTCAGCAAGTGGAAAACTATCCATCCATAACTGAGAGAGAAGACCACCGGGTACATGGCCCATATGCTACCAAATATGACAAACAGCATGAACAAGAGAAGGGCAGTCGCAAGCAATCGATCCTGCAACCTCATGACAAGCAGCAATTCTGTGAGTTTTGATCGGTTATTGCACCACGACATCCACATTTGAAGATTGGGGTTTAAGATGGAAGCAGGAGTAGCATGCCACATCCCCAACAAATTGTCTCATTGGTCTCGGACATGGTTGCAATATAGTGCTCTTTCTGCATGACTAAGAAGTCTGTCAGATCAAAAAACCAGAAAGAATAAAACAACTATATGTGATCTCGAGAATTATTTTAGAACAAGCATAATCTGCTTTGGATCCACTATAAAACAATATTTTCTTTTTTTTTTCTTATCCCATCTGCAGCCATCATGCTCCATGAAAAGATGCAGAACAGATGTTTTTAAAACCTGTTGGTTGTTCATTATCTGTGCCATGTAAACTAGCTCAATTGGAACTTGACCAAGATAGCTTCTTTATTGTCTCATTGGTCTCCGACATGGACTAAGGAGGCCATCAGATCAAAAAACCAAGAAAGAACACAACTTTATGCGGTCTCGAGAATGATTTTTGGACAAGGATAGTCTGCTTTGGATCCAGTGTAAAATGTTTTTTTTTCTTGTCCATATGAAGCTAAGAGTTACCAGCATACCCCATGAAAAGATGCAAAACAGATGTTTTGAACACCTGTTGGTTGTTCATTGTGTGTGCCATGTAAAACTAGCTCAATAGGAACCTTGATGAGGGGACCAAGATAGCTTCAAACGAGAACAATAAAAATGAACTTTAAGCCTGCATGTAAAATAAAACTGAAAATTAAAATGGAATACAAAGGATACAATGAATGTCATGCATATAGAAAAAGATGTATAGAATTTAAAATCTAACATAGCCAATCGGCCTCAAGAAAAAGTAAGAAAAAATTGTCACAGTCTACCACCAAATAAACTCAAGACTATTTTCTTACATAAATTTAAGTAAGAATGGATTTCCCACAAAACATGCATCATATAATAATTTATCTCCCACTGACTGCAAAGAGTCCTTAACAACAAGCCAAATGTATTCTAGGTTGGAAGTTTAAAGGATGGCCATGGACACCAGAAATGAATATTAAGCAAGCCCATTTTCCTACCCACCCAATTTTCATTTATGAAGTACTTCCGAGATAAAAAGACATAGGATTGTATACTATGAGACCATTTACTTTTGGTACAATGAGGTCACAATCATTCTTAGCCATTGGATGTGAAATCCAATAGATTGAAGTGCGTCACAACATTCTAAAAATTTTATTTTGGACTTTGTGCCCAATCAATGATACATCATCAACCACCCGATTTCACATCCAATGGTCAATAATGATTGTGACCTCCTTGTATAAAAAACAAATGGTCTCATTATATGCATTTCCAAAAGACATAGAACAAGCTTACAGGACAGATCAAGCACAGGACTACATAATTATGCCAATCAAATCATATTGCATAATTAACAGGGAAAATTGGCTTAACCAAGACCGTGAATGCATCGTGTAGCTCGAAGGAAAAAGGCATGAAATGTGGTAACTTCTTAATCTGAGTCTAATTGTCAACCTTAGCCCACAGGCAATTGCAAATTGCATACCCATGCTTGAGCTCAGAAACCCTTCTAATGTTGCCTCATTATAATTTCACAATACCACCAAGAGTTGATAACTCCTTTTACGCTCCCCCAATCCTAGTGAGGCTGCAATTGTGAGAAAATTAACCTAGAATAAGGTGCTACTTTTGAAAATTTCCCCAACAAAAATCAGATAGTAGCACCTTTTATTAATGCCCTAGCATCTTCCAGGTCTAGGGCATACCTACTCTAAGTTTACAGGAAGAACCTAAACCCAAAACCAAAGAATAAAAACATACCTTGCACCAGTAAGATTTGCAACCATGTCCCCAAGATGGTGCTCCAAGAATAGTAAAATAAAATCTGCGAAAAAACAGCAAACCATAATTTCCCCTAGAACTTCATGCATCCCATGTAATCTCCCTGAATCAACAGCACACCTTCCAAACTGCCAGTTCCCTTCCTTCCACTAGGTTTTAAGAGAAAAAGTTGCAGGTATGGCATTCTAGGTTGTGGCCCCTTCTTCCCCTTTGAATCTCCCACAAAAAACTGATTGGATAAACATTCAATGCCCCGCACAACCCTCATGTGCATGCCTCACCATCTCTCTTTTTTTCTCTGACTAACACCCTCAAGGAAGAAGGCATACCTCTCTGTTTTGGGTGAAGAAAATAATCATGGACTTGCAAGTTGCATATCCTCTTACTCGCTCATGAAATCCCTCAACAAGTAGCACAGAAGGAAAATTTGTTCATTGTTTCAACCACGCACACCACCCTTTTCTCTTTCTATTTCGTCTCACTCACTCACGTCCCATTTCACTCTCTAATCCAATACAACTAGCAGCACACATGCTGTGTAGGATTTCCCTCGCCAAATTTCAGGCACTTGTCCTCACAAACCCCTAACATCCTACATAAAAAGAGCCACCTTCATCTCTTGGCCAACTAAACAACATCCACCCTTGCTACAACAGACCTTGAAATTGTACCTTGGGACCCTCTTCGATAATGTGCATCATGGGACTCAAAACACAACCAGCCCAGGGAGCAGATTCAATCATCTAATTAAGGCGTAACATCATGTCAAGCAGAGAATGATGGTGCCCAACTCCCTACTCCTGCCCTACTCTAAGTACCCAAGTAGAGCACGCCCCCACTCAAACTGAGAGTGATCCATAAACATAAAGCATGAGGATATATACATGGGGAAACATGACAAGACTTTAATCAGAGATCAAGTGTACAGGTATTTAAAGGTCGAAAATCCCCAGCATCGGTAACTTCCTCTCATATATACCAGGTAAAAAGCATTAGCCGGAACTTTTACCCATCAATGGCACTCTTAACCACAAAGCAGTGTCTTACCCCTGATTATGAGCTTTGATCCAGCTGCACCCTGGTTGCTTCTTTATTCCCCTCTTTTTCATTATTTCCCTCACCCTACGTACATCCTCCCATCTCCCTGCCACTGCAAAAATGTTGGACAGTAGAACCAAAGTGGAAGGATCTTCCATCCTTGTATCCACCATCATCTCTGCAATATGTAATCCACTCTCCAACTCACTATGGTTCTTGCAAGCAGTGAGAAAGGTCTGCCATAGCAACGGCATGTGTGAAACGGGAGCTCTCCTAATGAACTCCTCTGCTTCCTTGAAACTCCCTCCCCCTGCAAGTAGGTGCACCATGCAAGCACGGTGCTCTGACGTTGGCTCGACAACCATTGACTTAAAGATGCATTGACCCTCTTCGAGAAGGCCAGCATGGCCACATGCTGTAAGAATGCAAAGGTATGTGATTGAGTTGGGATCCAACCCGCTCTTCTGCATCTCATAGAATAGGGCAAGGGCCTCAGTTGCATGCCCGTGGTGGGCAAGCCCCCCAATCATGGCAGTCCATGAAACCACGCTCCTCTCCTTCATCTCGCTAAAAACCTTGAGCGACTCATCCAAGTTTCCACACTTTGTGTACATATTGATCAAACTATTTCCCATGCGCATCCTACCATCTAGATCTAGTTTTGTTGCAAGGGCATGGATCTGCCTGCCATGCTCAAGCATGGCTAGGTTGCTGCATATGCCCACAACCACCGTCATAGTGATTTCATCGACCTTCACACCAGATTCCATCATGCAAACAAACACATTCAAACCTTGGCCTCCTCTCCCATTCTCCCCACAACCTTCCATCAAAGCATTCCATGACGCAACGTCTTTGTCTACGATTACATGGAATGCTTTAAAGGCATCTTCGATATCCTTGCACCTTGAGTACATGCTTATCAGTGCACATACCACGAAAGGATTGAGGTCTAGACCAGTTTTAACTGCAATGCCATGGATTGTTCTCCCATCTAGCCCATCCTCAGTGCAGGCCCTTAGAGAGCTGGAAAGCGTGAAGGATGTCACATGAATGCTTGGAGACATCATCCTCGAAGCAAGCAACTGACTCAATGTATAATTGTCTGTGCAGCTATTTTGCACTAGACCAGATAAGAAAGAATCCCATGAAACATCATCTGGTTCAAGAATCTTTGCAAAGACCCGGCAGGCATCCGAGACTCTATAATCACCCATGTACAGTGATATGAGGCCATTTGCGACGGGGTTATAACCGTGAAAGCCCTGTTTGATGGACTGGGAATGGACCTGCATTCCAAGCCCAATGAAGCCAAGTTTGGTGCACGAGCTGAGGACACTCGCATAAGTGATGTGGTTTGGCCCGGCTTCAAGTTGTTTGTGCATGAGAGCAAATGCTTGCAATGCTTGAAAGTGGCTACCCTGCTGGTTGTAGCCAGATATTAATGTAGTCCAAGAGACGGTGTTTCTAAAAGACATCCTGTCAAACAAGCAGAGAGCGCGCTCCATCTCACCGCACTTTGCATACATGTTTATCAAGTGGTTTGTGAAGTAGAGATGGTGGATGGATAATATTCTGTCATTTTTGATAAATTGGGCATGGAGGGTTTTTCCAAGGTGTAGAGACTTTTGCTTGGAGCACGCATGCAGTAAGGAGACAATGCAAGTAATGGATAGTGGAAGAGTTGAAAATTGGAATTCCGCGAATCGTTTAGCGTATTGCATTATATCCAGGTACTGTGCCCTAGTGACATAATTTAAAACAATTATTGCGGAGCAAGTTAAACAAATGGCAGGTAATTGTGAGGGTTATTAAATGTGCAGATATTTTGCACATGTTTTAAGAGTTTCATGAGGTAGGTGAAATCAATAAGGAGACAAAATGTAAAGTTAGGGAGACTAGGTTGGAAAGTGCAATAGAAACAAGTAACGATCATTAAAAAAAGTTAAGAGAAAACTAAACATACCCACAGATAATTGAACACAAAGTTTTCTGGATTTTTTTGAAAAAACAAAAAAAAACTAGTTATGGGAAAAATTGATAAATCTAAGCCACATTTTAATTTTAAAGATATGAATATTGCATGAAAAAAGTTACCTTTTGGGAATGAGGCACTAGTAACAGTAAATAATCAAAATAGGGATGTATACTGCTTCATATATAGTTCGGAGCCAAGTCAGATGCAAAAATCAAACTCAATTACTCATTCTTGCATCCACATTTTCATTTTAAAGATATGTATATTACATGAAAAAAGTTACCTTTTGGGAATAAGGCACTAGTAACAATAAATAATCAAAATAAAGATGTATACTGCTTCATATATGGTTCGGAGCCGAGTCAGATGCAGATAACAAACTCAGTTACTCATTCTTGCATCCACATTTTCATTTTAAAGATATGTATATTACATGAAAAAAGTTACCTTTTGGGAATGAGGCACTAGTAATAATAAATAATCAAAATAAAGATGTACGCTGCTTCATATGTAGTTCCGAATCGAGTCAAACTCAGTTACTCATTCTTACATAAGCCCAAAGAGACATAAAACTAGCAGAGCAACGAGTGGATGATTTATAATTTAAGGCAGCAATTAAGTGGTTGGTTTATGAGACGATGATTCATCCATCCCTTCAATTGCCATGTCATTATCAGTAGCAAGAGCATTATTGGATGCCTATGATTTACGGAAAAATTGGTACAATTTGGATTCTGGACAAATAGAGTTTAGGTGCATAAGTGCTTGGTAGCTGTGCAAATTTAGATGGAGAAGCAGACATAATTGGAGTCCGCTAAATGAAATATAGAAAGTGGATGGATTTCATTCCCCCACCCAATCAGATGCCTCGCTTATAAAGAAATTCTTCTATCTTTCTCTCCCTTTTTTCCCTAAGGGATTTTCTTCTGAAGCAACTCTCCAAAGAACCAAAACAAATGAATTTCGGCTCTAGAGCACCTTTTGGAAATTCTTTTTTTTTTTTTTTGATGAAATCAGGCGGCTCTAGTGCTCTTTGAATATGTACACACTGATTCTCTGGATTGGTACTGCATGGACAAGAATCTCAAGAACAGCATCGAATCCAAACTTGTACAAATATCTATGAACATAAATTTGGAGAATATAGGAAACATCTCACTCTCTCATGTAGCGAAAGAAAGAGGAGGTATGGTTTGTGGAAGCCCTACCCATTAACATATGATGTTACTAAAAGAGAGAGAGAGAGAGAAAGGGGGGGGGGGGGGTTTGTGTGCAAATACCTTCACTTGAGACTTTTTTGCTTCGACTCTCGTCTTCCTCGTTCTGTTAAGTCGTTCAAAGGAAAAACACCAAAAACATGAGTTGGAGTGATATGTTAACCGTGTCGGATGGACTTTTATGGGGGCCTGGTCGGTCACTGGCTTGGTGTACATATAGTTATAGGGCTTGGATACGCACAAGACGCCAATCTTAAGCAATCTAGTATCAACATTCAACAGTGAGGCATCTTAAAATCGTGCTCCCCGTTGCAGTTTAGGGGCAATAAAAGGGACCGTCTAGAAAGAGACATTTTGAAGGTGCGCTTTATTTTGATTGTTTTGAGCCTTTTTATTAATAACATAATGACTTACAAAAGTTCGTAAAAAAAAAACATTGTGATATTCATTAATATGATAATTTTTTATATATCAATTTTTATGTGTTATCATTAAATATCACATAAATAATTTATATTTTAAACAAAATAACTTAAACAAGCAATTATTTAAAAACAAAAATTTAAATATCACAGAAAAAATTTAAACAAATCAACAAACCAAAACCGATAATAAATGAAACTATAATTTATTTTATTATGATATCTATGTAGTATTAATATTTAGCAATGGTTACTCTCTTTTTTCACATGTGACTCGTTTTATTGTAGTAAAATTAGAATTTTTTATTTGTGTTTGGCTTATTAGATTTTATTATCAGTAATTATTCTATTAGATGAAATTTCTAATATTCCGTGCAATGCATGGGCTGATCAATAGAGTGTGCGTGTGTATAAAAAATATACAAGGAGACCATTTACTTTTATTACAAAGAGGTCAAAATCATTAATATCCATCAGATTTTAAATCGAGTGGTTGTGAGTGTGTTATTCACTAGATTCAAACTTCATGACACACCCAATGCCATCAACTTTAACATCGAGTGCTAGGAGTAATTGTGACCTCCTTGTAACATAAATAAATTTTCTTATATTATATAATCCTTGTCATAAGATATAATTTGATGTCCAAAATTCTTAGGATGGTGCGAGAGTCTATTTTTATGTGTAGCTATAAAATTTTAAACTCCAAAAATAGTTCAAATCAAGCAAATTTACAAACACATGAAAATCATTAAAATGGACAGTTCAAATTATGTGTGACAAGATGTACTAGTTTTAGTACTTTAAATATATTTTTCTCTTCATATCTATACATCTTGATTGCGACATGATCAATTAGATGTTTTTCCAATATCAAAACAACCCTTTTCAAGGGATTTATAGGCGCACCTAAATTCTAAATTTTAAAAACAGATTCAAAGGCATCCTAAAAACATAAGAAATTGACTTTAGAAATCCAACTAAAACAGTAATGGGGAGAAGATTCAAAGACAGCTTACACAATATGCAGTATTAATTGATAGTGACTTAGCCATCATTCTCCATTGGGCTGACTCAAGGCACTTATTGTTAAAAAAACTAAATAAAATACAATTCCAGAGCAAAAGCTGTGAATCTTCTAGGAAACTAAGTTTCAGAGAAAGGGAATCAGAAGTCGGTGCAAGTCACAAAAAATTCTGAAGAACCTCCAGCATTAAGCTTCCCACCCCAACTTTTACCAAAATACATTGAAACCCTTGACCAATAAGAAATATCATTTTTCTTTTCTCCAATCGTCAACAAGTAATGCAATTTTATATTACAACTACTGAAAAATTCAAATTCATTTATTCACAGTAACACATTCAACTACTGAAAAACGAAAACCCCCAAAACCCGAAGTGGAACAAACAAAATCGAAATGCAAAGATTCAAAGATAGCATACCTGAACCTCGATGAACCTCAAATCTCCTGAAGATTGCCCCAATCATCTTTGCAGCAGCAATGGAGCACAAAAATTTTCTGAAATTAGATGATAATGAGATACTTAGCAAATCATGCTGAATGTATAAGGATAATAACATCGGTGAATGCTTAACAATGCCATTTGACTCAAGCAATGTCTGAAAAAAAAAAGTCATTTATTCGCAATAACACATTCAACTACTGAAAAACCAACACCCCCAAAACCCAAAATGGAACAAACAAAATCGAAATGCAAAGATTAAAGGATAGCGTACCTCAACCTCGGATGAACACCGAATATTCCCAATCTTCTTGGCAGCAGCAATGGAGCATAGAAAATTTATGAAATTTCAGACATTTTCTGCGTTATAGGTTGAATTTCTAGAGAGAGAGAGGCATAGAGGGAGATTGAGAGAGAGGGGCAGCGAGAGATGTATAGAGACGGGCGGAGAGGGTTAAGCGGGAGAGAGATTGAAAGAGAGGCCAGCGAGGGTTTGAGAGAGAGGGTCACGGAGGGTTTGAGAGAGAGAGGGTCACGGAGGGTTTGAGAGAGAGAGAGAGAGAGAGAGAGACGCCAACGAGGTCGAGAGAGAGAGAGGTGGGCGGGAGAGAGAGTTCCCATCTCAAGAGGGAGAGACAGGACGCCCCCATAACGCCCTGCTGTGTTGGCATTCATTTTAAGTTGATTTTCATCAAAAAAAAAAAAACACCACCCCAATCACAACCGTTGGTGTACCCAATCCTATTGGCGAGCTCGCGTACCGAATCCTTTCTTATGTAAGGGTGTAGTTTGCAAAAGTCCTAAAAAATCACAATAGGACGCATCTTCAAAAAGTGTTAGAAAGATGTTATTTTAGTATAAACAATCATTGTGATGTTCTGAAAATTTAATTTTTATTATAAATTTAAAGCTTGAAAAATAATTTAAATTGAGCAGATCAATGACCATTTGAAAATCATGAAAATTTAATTCAATTTTTATTATAAATTTAAAGATTTAAAAATAATGTAAATTGAGCAGATGAATGACCATTTGAAAATCATGAAAATTAGCAGGAGCTTGCGCTCGTGGGCTCGCTAGTATCGCGTTGTGCAACGATCAACGGCGCCCTAGCTTTTACCGTTACTGTTACTAATCTCTAGGGAACGATATGCCCGTTTAATGAGTAAGTCCCATGCATGGTCCCTACCAAGGGGAGTGTCAGTTCTACCTGGAGAAAGGCTTGAAGCCACATTTGCAGCAGCCTTACTAACGGTGCACCACAACCATGATGGATCTCAGCTCCCCCACGCAGGCCAATTATTTAGTCTATAGATATGCTCTCCCCAGGTCTACTTGGGATCGACAGGGGCTGCTCGATAGATAGGGGCTCAAGTAGCCCCACTGGCATGGCTCTTTCTACCTTGTCTTGTTGCCACACAAGACAAGTCCTCATGTATTCTTCTACGTCATCCGCCGTGCACGTGGGGATATTGCAAGTCACCCAGTTATCCCTTATTTTTTTTTTTAGGGGATATTGGCTATCAAACAACCTCTCCTATTGAATTCTTTAGGTGCGCCTTAATTTGATAGTTTAGAGCTTCACCATTATATAAATTTTTTCATATATATAGGTTCCATTAATATGAAGATAAAGTGGGTAAAAATGAAGTTCACAACTTATTCTAACTTGAATTTGTTTTTGAGGGGTTGTTAATCCTAAAAAATCCCATATATATATATATATATATAAAAGTTCCTATCAGCTTATGAACTCATGGAACAGTATAAACCCAACAGTCCTGATTGAATTTGAACCGATCCAATAATCACAATTTTATTTCTTAATTGAATTTTAATTTTTTTTCTAAAATCCAAATTACTTGAAATTTAGAACGTTTATTCTTCAAGAATAGTAAAATCTAATAAAAATACCCCTAAAAAGTTTCATGAGTATTTTGATCTATTTATGTGAATTTTTTAAAATATTTTTATTAAGTATGCTTTGATGAGAAGAGTTTATGCTTCAAATTTTATGTTATTTGAATTTATATAAAAAATGTTAAAATTATATTACCGATATACAGTCCTGACCGTCAGATCGGTCCGAATTCAATCTGGATCATTGAGCTTATACTATTCCATGAATCAGTGGGCTCTCTCTCTCTCTC